TACTACAGTATTCAATTTTTTCTTTAATGACAAAATATACTTAAAAAGGTAATTATGATTTGGTTAATTCGGTGTACATATTTTATTTGACACACATATTAGTCGTTCAATTATTTTTCTAGCGGGAACGACATAGAATAACAAAATTTAAATATTTTTTTCGTATAACTTGGTTGTTTTATTTACTTTAAAAATAAAAAAGTTTTAAGAACACCGAGTATTAATTTTGTGCAGAGCCTAAGGAAAAAACTTTAAGCAATTCCAACAACAAGTTTTTGTAGGCAAGCTTTAAATAAATTGTATAATGAATAGAGATCAGAATTATGTGCATTTATAAATTTTGTTCGCGCCATTTTAAATGAACTCAAGTTGTCCAAATTTGTTGAGAAATATAGAATAGCATAAAAATATATTCGGTTTTAGATGGAATATACCCTATTTAATCCTCCAACATTATAACCTTGGTAACAACGCGTTACTAAATTTTATTTAAAAATGCATTTTTTATTTTTAAAACAATTAATAATAATTTCTACTGGCTAATGATGTACTCAGAATAACTTAACAAAATTCATAAATGCATATAAATTTGCTCAAGTAATTATCAAATATACTTACTCCTAAAACGAAGATAAATGGCTTCCTATTTAATTGCACTACTATTTATAATAATGCTTATAATATATATATATATATATATTAGTTTAATGAGTGTGTTATGTTATTTAAATAAGATTGCTCTAAGTCATAATCCATAGAAAATTCATTTCTCTAATTTTTTAGTATTGTAATTATTTTATTTCTGTAAATACTTCATTTCATTTCTAAGAAAATTAAGTAAAAGTTTTTTTTTACAATATTTAAAAAAAGCTCAATATTCTTTAGACTGTTCAACATTCTTTTTATATTAATAATAATTTAAAAGAGCCATTCCAAATTTTAAAACTAATCAGAAAAACTACTTTATTTTGGTTAAATATTTGAATTTGTGTCATTGTTATTCGCGTAGTTTCATTATTCAATTTAAGAAAGCTTAAAAAAACGTGCAAATTTTTACTTTTATTTAAAACACTAATTTGTATTGTTTAGAAAATTTATCAAATATTATCGCAACTACACCTAAAATATTTTATATTAGTACTGATAAAAAAAAATTTCAGTTCTGCTAAATTATTAAAACTTAATTAAAAATGTAATTAAATTTCATTATAATTAATGTCATTTTCCTTATAATCTATAATTTGGACTTTTTTTTTTTTTATTGTAAACATCCAAATGTAACTTTAATTATCATAGAATTTAATATAGCGATTTACATTTATCCAATAATAAAGCACATGTAAGTTGATAAGTTGATAAGAAGAGTAACATTGATAAGTTAAAACAAGTTAAAGAGCAACTTAAAAGAGAAATTTGATTGTGTATAGTATAATTAAAGCAAAGTGCAAATACTCGGTACAACAAGATGATACTTGATTTATAATTTATACACCTTAGTGTTCATGAGATGTATCATACTAATTATTTTTTTTCAAAACTATATTTCATTCAACACGAATATGTGCATCAAAATATAGTTACGTAAAAATCATATAAAAATATTTTTTTACAATTGAGAGTACGCTTTATTTTTGGAATATAATCCATATGCAAAAATAAATCGTGTAGTGTAAGTGTAATTGAATTTAATAGTATGATTTATGATTTTAAATCTGTGGGATTTTTAACCAAATTATTAGGTGAATTTACATTAAATCCTATTGAATAACACTAAATGACATTTCAAAATCAATGCAAACAATGTCTTTAATTTTCCACTGTAGTTTCCTCTGATAACTTTTGATGATGTTCTCTTGTCGTAGATTGATGATGTGTTAAAGGTTCCATGGGAACGACCACAGCGTCCGGACTACAGCTAGGAGCTGAATGATGAACCAAGGCTTTGTGCTCAATGCGACTTACAGATGATGTTTTTGACTTGTCTTTTGAACTTAAAGCATTTTGACTATTTCTCGAACAAGCCTCCTATTAAAAATATCTAGTTAATTTTCATGGAATATTATATTAACACAAAAATTAACAATAACGTTAAATGAAACTATCAATCTTAATTACTTTAATCAAATATTAATTTATTTTATCCTATATTTAAATATTCGAGTAATCAAAAACTAGTAATAAAATTATTTAAGGATATATGATAGACTATATAATATACATATAAATTCACAAGCCGTTTATTAAATAAATAAACAAAATCGTTTATTTTTTGGTGAATTGGATGGAGTTATATAAAAAATTTCGACTGATTTTTTTATTAAGTTAATGATCATTATCAAAATATTTTCATTTAATTTACACTAAAATAGTTTAACAAGAATACATTTTTGAGTGATTTAATATTTAACAAAATAAACGTTATTTTATGAAAACTGGAGAATGATTGATGAAGACATCAAAAACGAATGAACAAAAAAATTATCTTACACGTGCTTATAGGTTAAACAGCTGGATTTTTGACATTCCCAATTGAAACATATAGATTATAAATTCAATACAAGGATATTAGGTATGTTTTATTATACATTTTAGGTCAAGTATTTACTTTGGAACTGTTGTGTATTAGTTGCTCAGTCGAACAATGACTAGGCGGTGTGCCTTTGGCTTCTCTATTCTTAGTCGAGTGTCTTCTCTGCTGGTCCCTTTGATACCATTTTAAATTGTACGCTTTCAAGGAAGAAGTACTGTGTACAGCTGGGTCACTACCCGTCTTGCCGTAACCTATTTAATTGACACAAAAAACAGTGATTAACTATTGATTTAACTACGGTTGCGTTTTTATTTCATTTTATTGATGCGGACCTTTATTTTTCACATAAGTTGTTTGTAAAATTTTAGTTATTACTTACCCAATTTTTTTGCTCTTTTCGTTTTTCCTGGAGAAGATGAAGGTGTTTCTGAAGTGGATGGTCGACAAGAGATCAAAATGAAAGCAGCTGCCCTAGCTGCACCTACCCTGTTGTTATCCTCATCTTTAGTTTCCAACTGTCCGGCACTACTCTCCTCTTCTTGATGAGCTGACCCTTCGGATGTACCGTAATGTCGACCAGAAGATGTTTCTACATAAAAATAACAAATTTATTAATTACAAATATTACATAGACAAAATATACATTTTGATATATTCAAAAATTAAAATACTTGCCATCACTTCAGACCATATTAAGGACAGGTTAGAAAAACTTTTAGGTGTGAAAAAATACTAAAAAAAATTATACATAAATAAAATGAATTTTTAATTTATTAATATGTATATTATCCAATTTATTTATTCATTTATGTTTTAGGTACTCTCTAAAAGTTATTACTTGTTCTAGAGTGCAATAAAAACATATATTCTTAAATAAATATATCCGAATTTTCACATATATATACTAAAAGTTTTTAACGAATAAAATTTTAATAAATAGTTATACAAATTTTATTAGTGTGTATGAATTTTCAATACTTTATATAAAAATTACTCTATTTGGGTGTAAAGTAAAGCGTATACATGTATTTAATAAATGTAAATACCTATCTAATATTTAAAAAAAATTGGTTATTTTTATTTACATATATTTCTTGATTTATCAGCTATTCATTATTTAGAGTCATCCCTTATAACTTATAAGGATGTCAACTTTAATTTTTTTAATGATAAAATACTTAACTAACTAACTTATAAAATATATAGTTAATTAATTAAGAAAATGACTTCACATTAAGTTATTCACTTAAAATTTCATACAATAAAATTGGCCAACCTTTGACTGGGCGGATTTTGTTTATATATGCATCAAAAGACCCGATTTTAATCAAATTAAACATAACATCAACGAAAATTTAAAAAACCTAATTAATTTCAGAAATTAAAAAAAAAAATTATGCTACCGTTAAAATAAAAAAATCGCAATTTTGAAAAAAATTACTGTCAGATACCATTTGTCACAAATAAGACAAAATTAAAATTAATTATTTCAAAATAGCCATTTTTTACCTCTTTTCTTATAAATATTTTGTTGGGTTGATTATAATTCTAGAATAAGTAACAATTAAGTTACAAACATTTTAATATATACCTTATGTATTTAAAAGTTTTATGTCCAATTATTAATATAAGCACGTTAAAAACAATATTTATCCTTAAAATTAAATATTTCATGAAATTTTAAAACCCTATCATACACCTTATTAATGATAACATAACACATAAGTAAATTTTACAGTTTCTATTCTATTCTCCCAATGAAATACATTTATTTGAAGTTACAATTAGTTAGACTATTAAATAGGTAAACCTCCATTGACAGTTGTGTATTTTAAATGCTAAAATATCCCATATGGAAATTACAATCTCTGGATTATTCTATCTATAAAAATAACTTAATACTTTTGTTTTATCTTTTATTACTTAGGTAAACAATTTTTGTTTAACTTTATAAAAAATGATACTTACTATCATTTGTACTAGTTTTAAATAGCTTTATAACTATTTAAAAACCTTGCCCCTAAATTTATTCATATTAGAATTGAGGAAATCTTATTATAAATAAAAACATGAATTATTAAATGGCCGTCTCGTGGGTATTCTAGGGTAAAGGCCACGTGTAAAGAAAGTCTCGTACTGGGAGAAAGGCTTAAATAAGTCTGAAGCGGAGGCTTCTGTTATAATACTATAGTGTAGCGCGGGAAAACCAGGTGGTGTCTTAACATAACACAAAACCCGGTATAAAACGAGTTAAAATCGATAAATGGCGACCTACTCGTTTGACGCGAGCAAAGCAGCTTGTTGGGATATAAGTTGGTGGTCGGGAAATGCCGTGGCCTGGAAGCGGTGGACAGGCGCAACCCGAAACAGATAAGTGCAGAGAACACTAAAAGACCAACTACGACACCAAGAAGCGACGAACCGCCCGTCCTGCCATCGGATTCATCTGTGCACACGCGACAAAATATAGCATAAGTATTATTTATTATAGTCTTAGATTGTTATTGTATTATAAATAGTAAAAAAATAAACGATTTCCAGTACCTTGAGCACAGAAGCTACTTCGAGTATTGGTAGGCCTGGAAACGGTGACGATGTGGTATCCCTGTTTACACTTACATATGGCATTGTGGTCCACCTGTGCGCACACCGCGTGCTTGTCGTGAAGCTGACACGTGTCATCTTGAAAACACTGCTCTCCCAAGTCTACAAATTTAATTGGAAATTAAACAAAAGTATTTATTTATGCGATCACATTGATAAATTATATTAATAAAATCTAAAATTGTCATAATACAGTCCAAAAAATTATTACCAATAATTATTGTAGTCTTATTAACATCTGTTTTTAAGAGCCTCTCTAAAAATGGAATACTATACCTTCATATTTATGTATACATAATTCAATCTAAAAACAAAAATAATCATAGCCACCAAATGCAAACAAATAACAAAATATATCAATTAGTTGACTTCTATATAATATTATATGATGGATTTTTACTTTTCTCCATATTGTAAGTCTTATATTTTGAAAAAATATATCAATATTATATTATAGAACTATTTACCCAAATTACGAATATCACTTGTCTATTTATAAAGATTTGGATGACTAAATTCCTCAACAAGTCGGAAGCTTTTTTATTTTTATTACTCGATATTGCAATTTCAAAATTTTAACAATTAGAAAACTGTACTAGAAATATTCAATACATTTTGAATTTGAAAAAAACATAATTTTTATTTTCTATAAAAATTGATAATACATTTTTTTATTATACACGAGTAATAGAAATATAAACATAGTAATTACTTTAATTTAAAACAAAATTAGAGAATGTATCTAAACTGAAACTAATGAATGACATAATAAAAAATAAATATCATCTTTTTCTTTTTTTATTTAATGTGATTTCTGCACAATTTAGTTGATATTATGATGAGTATATTTTTTAATTAATATTTTTCTGGTATACATTCACTTTTTTTTACATCAATGCGTCACAAAATAGCAATAAATTACAAACATTATTTTAAAATCACTAAACAAAGACAAAAATTCCCTGACTAAAATTTATATTATTTTCCGAGTTTTATTATTTTGTAATATCAAATCTTAATCAAATAAAGAACGTCGAAAAATGAAATGTCAACAACTTTTTGTCGAGTGCACTCACCAAAGTTATAGCTTAGAGTAGAAATAGAAGTAAATTCAATAATAATATAACACTTCACAAATGTATAGCGAATTGTGTTTGACATTAATATCAGTATTCGTCATTCCTTTTGTACCTATTTGATATTTTCAAACGCGAAAACAGTAATTAAATGAATGGTAACAGTAATCTTATTTTAAAATGACGTTTCGAAATTCCCAGAAAAAGTAATGAGATTTTAAATAACAAATTTATTTTATCAACAAAAAACTGATTTATTATTTTAGAAATTCATTTATAAAGTTAAGATGACAATACAATTGAATATTGTATTATTTTTAGCAAAACTTCATATTTTTACTGTAGGTTATTTTAAATATCTTTNATACAATTGAATATTGTATTATTTTTAGCAAAACTTCATATTTTTACCGTAGGTTATTTTAAATATCTTAAACAAATTTTGAATCTACATTTAATCTTAATAACATTAAAAATCATTTATGTTTTTAAATCTATTACTGAAAGTTTTTTAATTTAATTGAATAAAAGAGTAAAATTTGGCAACAAATAATAAATTGTTATTATTAATATGAATATAGTATAGTAACTTTAAAATGAAACTTGATTTAATTATTTTTTTTTTACAAAAGAGGGTATAGCTTTTAAAAGTTATAAAAGAACAAAATATTTTGTCCGTAATAATTAAAAACAATTTGCAATTGCTTAAAAAAAACATTTTGGGTATTAATAAAATATATTCTCTTATATTTAATCAATTATTAATATTTCAATGTGTTTAATTTTTCCAGAGCATAAATCTGTTTGAATAACATTAAAATATCTCAAATGTTTTAATTAAGCTATTAGAACATTATTTGTATTTTAATATTGAAAATCAATAAGTGTTTTGAACAACAGTACTAAAATGAATAAAAAAAATAACATAATTTTAAAATAAGAACAAAAATATATAAATTATACCACAGTTATCCGAAACGAATCGATGAGAAATAAGCGCAATATTATCAGTTGTTTAGGTGAACCTATTTTTAGTTTTAGATTGAACTAATCTCATTTATCATAATATTATCATGACTGTCTTATTATAATATGTGTACAAGGTGATTTATTAAGAATACCAGTCCTAATTTTTTCGTTAAATAATATTTTTTTTATACAATGTANCCAGTCCTAATTTTTTCGTTAAATAATATTTTTTTCATAAAATGTTTTAAATAAAATTGTATTTACTTTTATGTACCATGATTTATTAAAAGTAAATTTTAATAATGAACTATTTCCAAAGGTAGTTTTAAGGGGTAACCTTCAAAAATTAAATGACAGTATATAATTATTTTTATATATTAGATCAAAACTAGACAAAATAAAATATCGATGAATCCATAATCAATTCTGTAATATTACTTTCTAATTTTTATAATTTAAGGTAAAGGCGAGAGTAATTTTCTCATTTTTGTGCAATGAATAAAACTTGAGGAACACTAACACTACCACGCTCCTTACCTCATCTAAATCATTACATGATAATAACTCGAAAATTAATAATTCGAATAAAACATTTGTACAAAAAAAATGGTAACACAATGGGGACATTGCATAGTTTGGATGAACAGAGTGAATATTAGTCTGTGTTCACTCTGAAATAGATATTTTTTAAATTAATTCATTAACAATAAAAACAAAAATAGTAGCATAGTGGTGTCACTAAATAGTTGGGAAAAGTATAGACAACAAATGACAGTGATTAAAATCACTAAGTATAATACACGAATGAATTTATTATATTAAATAAATTTAACATGAAGTTAATAATCAATAATTTAATATTATCATTTTTAAAAAGAGCAGCCCTCTTCCTTTTAATATTATTGTTGAATTGACATTAAAAGTAGAAAAAATTCGCCATGAAAATATTTATAACGAACACTTAAATCTTATTTATTATTTTTTTGTAAAAGGTCGACGATAAATTGAGATACTAACCTTCCCCTCCTAAGGACTATAACGTTTGACACAAAATTTAGGCATAAATAATCAACAAAAATAAAGTACAAAATTATAACAACACGAAAAACAGTGATTTTTACATAAAAAGAACATTTTTTTTTTTAACTTCGGAGAACGTTTACGTATAGGAGACAAGTAGTCGGGAAAATTGTTTTAAAAATAAAATAAACACATCATAGTAAGATTAATACTTTCTCATCTTTGCATGGAAGCTAAAATAATTACCTAATGAAACATTTGGGGTTAGTATTCATAATAAATTACACTGTATAACAAAAATTTCATTTTTCTTTTTTTTTTTGCTAAAACATGTCTTGCACAATTATCATAACTGATTTTTATTAGTCGAGTTTGAAATATTTTTTTAATAAACGCAATTTAAATCACAGTATTATTTTCTCTAATTTTAATCTAAAGTTTAAAATCATAAATAACACAATACAAAATATAGTACTGTTATAATAGGTAAAAAAAGTTACTTGACGAAAAACATATTTTCTACAACAGTATAGTAATAATCAGACACTTCGTTATTATTATTATTATGTTATTAAACGTACATTAAGTTTGATGGAATTAATTTAAAAACTATAATTTAGTTAATAAATATGGTTAAATTATTTATAATAAAACAGTATTATATTTATACTCTGATAAATTTTAACTGTAAGAGTAATGAACTACATAATTGAATAATGTTTATTAATATTTTATGCAAATCTGTACATGATACTGTCGTGCTCCACACGTTAAGCCCATGAGGGCACGTTTGCTAGGAAATACTGATTTGTTAGTTAGATGTATGTAAATTAATTTAACGACTTCACTTAGGCAGTAATGCAATACCGTACGTGCATAAATAAATAAATAATTTACACAATAACAAACAACCTGTAGCCTTTGTATTTTCATTCCTATCAATAATTTATACGTATGAATTTACTAAGCGAATAACTGAAAAATATATATTATCATTACGTTAATATGTAGGATTTAAAAATATGTATTCATGTTCATAATTAATAGGATTACAAATTATTATAAAAAAAATATCTAATATTTTAGTTTGTGTGTTATACATTAAAATACTAAATATATTGTTTTTTTCTAAAGTAAATAATGTTATACAAAACTACTATTTCATATTTATTTAAAAAAAGTCAAAAAAAAATAAAATAAGTTCTTAATAATTACAAAAAATAATTAATTGTTTTCAATAAACTATTATGCTCAAATCCTACCGAACTAAAAATTAGACATTTAATTTAAAAAAAAACATTTTATGTAAAGTAATTAATCAAGATCATTGGTCATGATTAATTATAAAAAATGCCATTGACTTCGTTTTAATTCTAGTAGATCCTAAACATTAACTTTATTCGTGCCATCATCAACCATTTCACTGGAATACTTTCTATTACACTATATTTTTATATTGAGTATTTTTATCTAAAATTAATCAATTATTTAATTGCTTTTTCATTTGACCATTTCATTATTCTTGAAACTATTTCATGAAAACGCTCTTTATTCCGATCCGAAATCATACATTAGCTATTAATTTTTTTTCACCCATTCTTTTTAATTAAATAATAGAATTATAAATTAAAGCGTTTTAAAAAACAATCTGGAATATAAAGTACTAAAAACTTTGAAGTTAAATTTACCAAAGAGGATATTCAATTTTTAAACAATAATGTCATTAGGGCTGTGAATTATTTGTATTTATAAATTTTGTTAAATTATTTTGAAGACACCGTTAATTAGTACAAATTATTATTAATTAACTTGAAAACTTAGTAATGTGTTATTACCGATGTTACAATTTTTTGGGGGTGATTAGTGGAGTCTATCCCCCTTAAAACTAGTATCTCTACATTACTATATAATCCTATGACTAAGTTGTATAAACTTGGGACCCAAAACTTAGTTCAAATGAAATTTATAAATACATATAATTCCCAGCTCTAATCATCTTCATCATTATTCTCAGTTTAATGATCTATTCAGGACCTACACTGCCATTAGTAGGCTCCTTAATTTTTCTCTGTCCAAGGTAGTCCTGCGCAATAGTTATTTGTTATATTCGATAGTGTTAGAATAATCGATTTTATTTGATTAATTAATATACCCGATCAATCGAATATACGTATAGTCTTATATAACGAAGCAATATATACACTATATGTAAATCTGTGGCGTATTTAAAAAAGGCACGTGCTCTACAATTACTGAGCTATGCTAATATTTTATCAAGATCCGTAATAATGTTAAAATATTTTATTTAAAATAATTACATAGAATATAGGCTATAATACATTTTTATATTACTATAGCAACAATAACTATCATCAAAATATAATAAAATAATATGCTGAATTATCATGTAATGCGAATATTCTGATATTTAACTTAGCAATTTAAATAGCACTTGTTTAATTCCACACAGTACCAATACTGAAGCCTTATTCTTAGAGAACAAATATTTTATTGTGCACTCGACAACAAATATAGTAAATTATCATTGGTTATTATTATAACTATAGTGATTACAGATCGGAATTAGGATATGTATTTATAAATTTTGTTTGCATCCTTTAGTAGGGTCTCAAGATCGAACAACTTTGTGGTAGGAACGTAAGATAATTTTGGGGGGATAAACCCACAAACTAAAACCTCGGTAACAAAACAGTACTAAATTTTCAATTTAATTAAAAAAAATTTGAACTGACTGATTGTATATTCGAAATATTAACAAATATGGTACATTAACAAATCAATAAACTTATATAATTCCTGGTCTAATAATTATGAATATAATTATAATATATAATTGTTGCTTGAAGTGCTTAAGGATTTTCCATGTTTACAGTTGAGTCCAAAACGTCAGAACTCAACTGTAAACATGGATAAATCCTTAAGCACTTCAAGCAACAAGACAATCCGTGAAATCTTTAACATATTTATGTATAATTGTATTATAATTATCTTTAATAGATAAATATCAAAATAATCACTACGTAGCAATAAACTTAAAATATTTGTAAACTCCTAATATTTTTGGAACTTCACTACCGAAATCTTCCTAAAATCTGCCTTTTATGTCCGTTACAGATCCTTCATTATATTTCTATTTAAGCATATTTAATGAACAAGTTGGAATTGAAAATTTACTTTGTCCTTACAACATCTACTCAAAATTAGTATCCGTTCATAAAGTCATAACATGATTATTTTGTTATTAACCTAAATGATAAAATAATGCAAAAATAAACAAACATCAGTTCGTTTTTAATGTAAAATCCATTGATGTAAATTTCATTTCGTATGAAGGAAATAACAATGATATGAATAGGTTATAAAATCAACAGGTTGGGTTCTACAATTTTTTTTTCATTTTAACGTTTTCTGTATATCGTGGTTGTGTTAAAACTGTAAAAAGTATGGTTAGAAATTCGGCATTTGGAACGTACATGGCATATTAAAGATGCAAAAACTATTTGTGCGAATATCTTGAACTTACATTTAATCGACGTGAGGGTGTCTTCAGCGTACGTCGACAGATTTAAGAATAGTCTGGAAAAATCGAATGCTATTAATTCCTTTCGAGGTAGTTTACTTTATCATTATTTCTATTTAAACAATTTCGACGAAATAAAAGCTTAGGCGAGAACATTTTATAGTAAGTTGGTTTACGATTTTCCCTAAGGTCTGAGTTATTTAAACATTAAACTCGGCACATAATTAAAAACCGCCTATTAAATGTATATTAACTTTTGGCGAAAAGTTTAACGCATATTAAGAATTTTCACATTATAATTTTTAATAATAACCACAAATAATAACAAGAAATGTTAAGTAGAAAATTCAAGTATAAATAGATTGATTCAAAAGAAATATAAAAACAGGCTTCAATTTAACCTTGTTGAGTAAAATATTTAAGAGTGTTCTGTTTTTAAGTAACTATTCAATTAGTAAATAAAATATAAGAAACACACATTTCATTTTTAGTAATTTACATTAATTTTTGTATAATTATTTTTACAACAGTATCTTTAAATATTTAAAAATTGATAATTTAAAATAAAATAAATCATTTTCTATTTTATTATCATGTTAATAAGAGATCTAAAAATGAAAAAAGAAACACTTCCTCTGTGGCCATATATAAATGACATGTTTGGGTAATACGTTTGAAACTTATTTTATTTGACAGGTTTAAGTTTAAAAAGGTTTAAGGGGTGTAATAGTTTTTTACCCATTTTAATCATTAAACTTTTTGTTAATTATAATTTCCAGTAGAAAATCTTTGAAAAATACTGTAATAATTTAACTTTAATTCAAGTGGAAATGGCCCAAAGTGGAAAATAAATCGCAAGGTGGAAAATATTGTTCATAACGACAATATTTTTCGAGACGTGAATAGTAGAGAACTGATAAAAGAAAAACACTTTATCGTTAATTTAACACGTAAGATTAGCCTGGAATCGAAAATACAACTATAAAAGTCTAAAAGTCGTAAAATGATGTCCATAAACTTTGAAATAAATGCTCAGTAACTCATTTTCAAAATCCTATTCTTGAGGTAATGTGTATGCAAATGGGTAAACCAATTTAAAGTAATAGCTAAAAGTGAAGATTTACGATCAATGATTCGCAGAAGCTTCGGTTAACCTTAACGAAAATTCTACAGCTAGTCGTTAAGCACTCAAACTGTGATGATTTTTGGTACTTTACGAGGAAATTGTCTAAGTCCTTTTTGTATTTTTACTAGAATAATGAAATTTCAAGTACCAACATTTGATATTAGTAAAAGCACATATCAAGATATAATAGTCTAATGAATATTTATCAGAGCATTGAAGTACTACTATTCTAATAAAATTTTGATTTCGTTTAAATTGATTAAAATAATAAAAAAGTAAGGGTAGCATAATAAGCTGCATTTTATCTTACCCGCAGTCAGCTACATTAATAATTTATAGTGTAATATAGTTTTAATGAAGATATAATCCAATGCGAATTGATTTATTTTCATTGACCATTATGTCACTGTTTTGTATACTACTCGTTAAATATATCAACATTTTTAATATAAATGGAATAAAATTAATTCACCGTCATCATTTTACCATTACGATTATTTATACATCGAACGGAGTCGTGTTGCAGTCGACCAAAGATAAAATGACTATATATAGACTCATATTAATATTCTTGGCGCTAATATAAATAATAAAAACATCCGTAAGACGTTTACCGCAATGCCAGTTGCCGGTAAGCAAAATGCTAAACCTTTTACTTACTATATAAATCGTTTTTTTTTTACATTCCAAATAATATTACGGTGAAATTTTGCATGATGTTTTCAAAATGAATTCATCGATATGACGTGACGGATTCTGTGTAAATAATTAAACAGTAAACCTTTATAAAAAAAGGAAAACTTTTAAAAAATTCATGGTCTTAAGTACCAAAGACATTTTAATAAACGTATTGATAATTTTTAAGATACTTTCAGCGTTTTTTTCACGTTCAATACAGCTGACAATTGGACACAATTTTATTGTAAAAATAAGTTGTTTGATGAATCAAACACGATCCTACAGCATTTCTATGAAATTTGTGTAATCTTGTGAAATATGACGCGTAAAGAATGTATTATACTACACCATTAACAATACATTTTCACAAGTCATAACTTAATACTAATGGTCGTTCAATCGAATTTTTTAAATATTCTTGTAAATAACAAGAGCTAACGAGCCGGACGTAAAAATACAACAATATTTATGTGACAAAAGAATGTTTGAAATGAAATATCAACTATAAAAAAACACTCATCCCGTTCGGAGCAATAAAAAAATACACGTATAATACCTAAAGGACATTCACTTGTGTTTTCAGCACGTTCATTTAAATCTGGTATTTTTTCATAACTTAGATATAAAATCTTTCAATCCGTCTCAAAGGTTCTGTGCTCTTAAACCCCAAACGATACGCACCATATATCCCAACGGTTCAATACAAAAAGGACTGCATCTGACAACCTTTAAACTTTAATCTTATCTCCTAACATATACCTGGAAATAATGTAAGCTTTTGCAAAAAAAAAACAAATAATAAACGAGAATCGATGACACAAATGCATTGTCATGAGCTTATACTTAGAAAAATGAATTTTCATTTGCAATATGCACAAAAAGTGCAACGTGGGTCAACGCCCCACCACCAGGATGTCTAAGAGGATAGAAGTGATGATGCTACCTGTTTGTGTGTTATTGTTCGGGATTTGTTGATCGGCGAGAGCGCAAGCGCACAACAAGCACATCCATCGAATCCATCTGACCAGCATTTCATGTCGTCGGCTCGTCGCGGTGGTCGTCGTTAATGCTTTGCCGCCGATCACTTAAGCTCTTAAGGAAATTATGACTGTCGTTACAAAAGTTGTTGAGTTGATTGCATGTGAGGAGATGGGGCACGACTTTACAGATCTTTGCAGGTGGGTCAAGATTTAGAAATTAACTAAAAGAGATGAAAAATTATCAATCGAAGAAAAAATCGTATTGAACGGTGTTTTGGTGAGCTAAAGACGTTAGCGGGTGCAAAATATGAGGCACACCATAGATGTTTGTCCGAGAACTGCCGGTAACGACGCCCCCACACTCCGTTAGAGCCGTGGCGCAGTTCCGATTTTGCCGCCGAGTGGATGCGCTTTGGGGAGACACGCACACGGCGCTCAGTGGTAAAACAATCTACTCACCGTCACCGTATTTGAGTGGGTGGCTGGAGGTGAAATAGAGTTAGAGTGGCATAGCGAGAAAAACAAAAATTTAAATCACATGATTACAGTAGTATGTGTGTATCTCATGTATAACTAGTTTGCATATTTGCTCTTAAGAATATTATCATAAACTACAAATTATAGTTACTATAAAGTACTAGCGATACCTTGCGACTCACCTGTTGATACATTTTTTTCTATCAGTGAAAATAAATAAAAACTAACGGTAATAGAAAAATCGCATCACCTAAAAATATTAAATTCTTTATTTAATACCGAAAAATGTTTTATCATCCTCGAATTTTATAAAAATTAATAAAATATTATACAGTTACATTTTCAAAACATAACTAATTTTTTTGTTTGGGATTTTTAAGATACTAAACTATCTTATATTAGTATCTAAAGATAATAAGATGATCAAAAGACAACTTTAATTTCTTTAAAAAATAACAAGTGCTACCAACTAGTGGGTCATAAAATACTTTACTGTCGTTATAATGAAATTGTTTCGACGCAGCTTATATGTTTACTTCGCAATTTTCATGAAACAAAAAAAATATGATAGCTACTATTATATTAATACTCGGTTTGTTGTGTTAAAAACTTTATTATCTGTATTATAAAGTACACTTTTTTTATCAAAAAAAAAAAAGATAAAAAATAAAACGTGTATAATATATGATATGTAATTTGGTACAGAATTCAAACAACAAAAAAATATCTTCAATGAATAAAATATAATATACATCTGAGTAGAACACTATACACTGCACGTCTTCAATTACGTTTTATTGAAAAAAATTTAATCCCATGGGATAAGTTAGGTTGAGTTATATGATGACTAATTTAAAACTGTCTATTGTATGACATTGATATCGAATTCTAAATCTCAAATTATGTCGAATTTAATGATAATATCAATGTAAATAGTAATAGGAATTTTTTTTATATCAAAAACTGTTAATAATATACGATCAATAATTCACAAAGAACTATATTCGAATCGTTATTTATAAAATAAAATTAAATAATTTAAGTAAAAATATATTTAATTTATAATTTTTACAATTTAACTTCTAGACATTTTACACTAAAAAATTCATCATAAAGCAATATTTTTTTCCTAAGATTAAATTGGTTTTTACCAATATTTTTTAACTTTTTAAATAATAGTACATATTCGCAGTCCTTGTGAATGCTGATCAAAAATAACTTTAACTAGTAACAAAAAGATTTGTAAAATAAGACACTTGAGAAAATTTGTTATTAAGAAAAAAGCCCAATTTAGTAAGTAGAAATTCAAACATGTTTTATTAACGCTTATAGTATTATTTACCCCGTACTTGATACTGTTTATTCGGAACTTTATTTGTTTCGCTTTATCTAAACTTATAACACAATACATGTTTTAAGTGAATTAATTTGGTTTTATTTTCATAAAATTTAAATAAAAATCTTTGCTTTATAAAATAATATTAAAACAAAACTGGATACTTCAAAAATAGTAACTACAATAAAGTAAATCAAAGTCATAAGAGAATAAAAACTATATTTTTCAGAGAAATTAAATCATTTGTTATTTATGATCACACAATTTGTTAAATTATATAGACAAACTTTTAAATTTTTTAATAAAAATAAATTACAACCATTTTTAAAGTATTAACACACTACTAATAAAAAGAATACAAAAAATTAAAGTCACTTAAAAATTTTATTTAAAAAATATTAAATCAAATACGAGTTCTTTTATTGTTNATTAAATCAAATATGAGTTCTTTTATTGTTATAACTAATTGTACTACATCTGCTTAATACGAAAATGATATTAAGAAACAAAATATTTATTGATACTAGTTAATCAGTAATCATATGGGAATTCCCAACGATAAATAATTAAAACTAAGTTGTATGAAGAAAAAAAAATTTATCCAATTATTGTTAGTATTTCACTTTTTGTAAATTTATAATTATAACTGTAAGTTTATTATAAATTTTGAATCATACAAATACCCAAAAATCTATAGTAAGAAAAAAAGCTGTGGAAAATACTATGTATGTTTATTAAAAATAATTCTATTATACTCTCATGGTTACAATAATTAAATTAAATTAAACGGATTAAATTTTAATGTCTTGAATTATACAAATTAATATTATCAATTTCTTTTTAAATTTTATTTGTAATAAATCTATACAAAAATATAAGCTAATTTAAATGATATCCTTAACTAGTAACTTAACTCTAATATCAATAAAATATCAAATAGACTTAGAGTTTAACGAGTCTGTTGCAAAAAAAATTCCTGTATTTGCTGTTTTAATTTATTATTTACTGAAATTTATATAATGATGACAAAAGTAAATGTGAACAAAAACTGAATGGTCACTCAATTACAATATACTAAATCTAATGATAGCAAGAAACGATAAAGCAAATAAAGTTTTCAGTTACAATTTATCGATTCTACAATTGAGTCTATAGCCATTTGGATGTACTTACTTTTATAGAGTTTTGATTATTATGTAACAATCGTTCAGTTTATAGCTTAGTAAATAAGAAAGGTAATAACCTGTATGTGTTCAAAATTATGCTGCGTTCGGGTGGGTGCAAAGGTTTTTCCAAAACGATAACAAAACCATAACGCATAAAATATATTCCAAGTAACTATCAAGTGGCAATCTACGTGACTATCTATTCTGTGATAAAACAAAACAAATTGTCAAATCTAATGTGAGCTAAAATTTCAACAGTGTATACTTTTACTTCGTTTCTATACTTAGGTATTTTTAAAGCACGTTAACAAATTTAAACTTAGTTTGCCGTATTATCCACTCGGACATTTCAGTTTCTATACTAACAAAACAAAATTATTTAATAATAATCAAATTTTATAGAGGTAAATTACTTGACTAACTTGATTATTTGCTAATTAATACTCTATAAACTAATTTTTGTGTAATTGTCGAATTATAATATTTATATAATAAAAGCTATGAAAAAATAAAACACTTGTATATTCATAAATATTACATGAAAGTTCGTATACAGAATGAAACTTTGAATAAAATCATTCACGCATTAAATTTAATGCGTAAATTTTAATTTAATAAAACAATTTATAAAAATTAAATGTAATTTGGTATATGATTTTTTATTCAATTGAGAAATAAACTTTATTAAGTGTAATTATTTTTAAAAATTTTACTTTAAAATAAAAAATGTATAATGAAAAAAGTCAAGTTCAATCAAGTGACAGTCAAATTAAAAAATGTTTTATTTCAATGGAAATTTAATAGAAAGATTCGTTGGTAAGGGGTGGTTTCGTGGTTTAAACTTCCCTATCACAATTTATTTACATGTAACAAATTTATTTTAAAAAATTGTATGGAGATTATGCATTAAACCCCCTCCTCCCATAATTAATCTATATTAACGTTCCCGTTCACAATCAATTATAATTGTCTAAACATTTTTTAAACAAAATCGTTAGTGGAGTTTTCGCTCCCACTCCTTTAATCCGGATCTGACTATGCTGATCATGATATTATGATTCTTTTATTATGAACGATCGATAAAATTAGTAGTTCAGTATATCAACCTTCCACGAATTAATTATATTAAAACCCCAAGGAAAATCTGAGATTTCATTATTAAACTTGATTATTTATTTATTAAATAAATAATTAGATTAATGATTTTTAAAAATGACTATTATTTGTATTTTAAGAATTTAAAGTTTTAAATAATCAAACATACATATAATGATACTAAAATAACAAAAGTTACAATGGTTTATTTATACATTGAATGAAAGATTTAATTAAATTTGCTTAAAAAGTACTTGACGTAGTCAAATAATGAATTAGTATTTTAACTTCAGAGGTACAAAGCCAAAGCCAAGACAACATCCAAGGTGACTTATTCAAATGTCTAACCTCTATTTATCCATTACATCGATTTATCTCTATAACTTACTTAAATAAGGCATACTTATTATATGAAATTATTTTAAAATTTATTTTTACTGTTTTTCTAATTGTTTTGTGTAATTCTTAACAAAACCATATTTGTTCACAACCAATCTATAAAAAATCTCGCGTTTATATAGTTTAGTCCATATAGTTTCTTATAAAACGCGAACATAAATAAATTTCGTTAAAGATATTATACAGATAAAATATTTAGAGAAAAATTGTACATTTTTAGAATTTCGTGGATTGTCCCATAAATAAAATACAAAATTTGACAGAAATAACTTTGTTGTAGTACACTTGAAATTGCAAAGTTAAATGATTTAAGAAACAAACATGACTATTAAAAAAGATATTTTTATTCATCTAATTGATTTTTTATGAAAACCTAGTCAGGGCTGAAATTGGGGGTGTCGTTCCTGGAACTTAATCATGAAGTCGGTCAAAACCTTTACTTCATCTAGTGTCATTGCATTGTACATAGCGGCTCGAATTCCTCCTACTAACCTGTTAAATTCAATCCATTTTTAATAATAAGTGATTTAAATAAAAAAACAACTGCTATTCTTACCTATGACCTTTGAGTTGTAAAAATCCAATATCTTGGGATTCTTTCAAAAACTGCTTATCAGCTTCAGGTCCGGTAGACAACCGGAAAGGAACTGTCACACGACTCCTATATGCACTATCAATAGGACAAGAATAAAATCCCTTAGAGTCTTCGATGGTTTTGTACAAAAGTTGGCTTTTAGTTTTTGATTGTTCTTCCATACTACCAACTCCTCCTTGTTCTTTAATCCATTTCAATACCAACGACAGCATGTATACACTACGAATAATAGTAAATTTAGAATACAATTTTTAATTGAAATTAAAACTAATATTTACATAAACGTAGGTGGTGTATTAACTAAGGAATCATCATGAGCAAATAGTGTATAATTGAATACCATAGGGCAAATAGGACTAGGATGTCCAATTAAATCATCGCGGATTATTATCACAGTGATACCAGCAGGTCCTAAATTTTTTTGAGCACATGCAAACACAATACCAAACTAAAAATTCAGTAACTGGAAAATTATGAAATGAAATATAACACAATTATTTTTAATAAATTACCTTGCTAACATTAAACTTTCTAGTCATTATGTTGGACGACATATCACATACTAACGGTACACCGTTAGTTTCAGGGATAAAAGGAAATTCAATGCCTATAAAATTAAATTAATTTCAACTGTAAAATGATAAACTATAAGTATTAGTATGATACTGTATTAAAAACTAAAATTGTATGATTAAATTAATTTTTATTAAATAATAATACCATATTTAACTTTTTACGTTCTTATAATCAAATATATTAACATCGTGAAAATTGCATAAGAAATTAGTACTATATTAAGTATTACTTAGAAAAATATAATACTCTTTTGTTAAAAAAGTTTTCTTTAATAATTGACCTTAACAAATCAATAGCTAAACGACCTTTTTTATCCCAAAATTTATAATAAAGTTATATTTTTTAGTTTAATTTAAACATAAATTAAAAAACTGAACAGAAACAAGAACATGTTTAGAAATTTATAATGTTTGGGGCTAAAATACATTTTTCTAGTTCATTTATTTTGAAATGATTATGAACTAATAAAAGCAGATTAACAAACATTTTTATATTAGCCTTGTACGGTCAATGGAAGTGCACGTGCCTCTTATCACCACTTTAAATATGCCACTCGTAAACTTTAACTGTGGAAACTCAGTAGATTAAAAATGCCGTACTGCTCTTTTAAAAATTTAGTAAATTTTTTGACAATATTAATAATATAATGCTTAACCTAAAAAAAATATCTAAATTTAAGGAAAACCTAGTAACTTGTCCTCGAAATCCTTAAAAACAAATTTTTACAACAATACAAGTATAATGTATAAAATTTATTTTTAAAGAATAATTAATTTTAAACGAATGTACAACTTTTGTTCATAAAAAAATCAATAAGTAAAAAAGTAAGTAAAAATAAATAGTAATATAATTCTGTATATAATTGAAAGCTATGTTAAATACTATTTTGTACCATTAATTAGTTAGAACATGTAGATAACGTAAATTCTTATAACTTTATCAAAGAATAAACAATTTATTTAAAAAGAACCATATATACATAATAAAGAATGTCTATGTATATTGAATATCATTAAGTATATTGAACTCGCAATGTAGAAGATATCCAATCATTAGAATAATTAAACGCATAAATAGTTTATAAAATGTCTTAACAATATGTTCAAAGAATTATTTTTTCTCTTGTAGATATTCGTATATGAAAACGTATAAGAAATAGACCTTTTAATATATATTTGAAGAAAGTATGTTACATTCTAATTGGAAATAAAATGTATACATTTTTTCATTCATACGAAAAAATATACTTAATATCGGGGTAATTTAAAAATTTAATCTTTAATCTTAAACTTAATGTTTAGAATAAAAAATAAGCAATTTTAACAACCTAAATATCCAATAAAAGGAATTGTCCGTCCAATATCTAAAGACCGTTTAGTGTTCAATGAAAGCAATTAATAGGGCTTAATTTTTATCTTTTTGTTGTTACACGATTTTTTTGTGTAACTCTTAGTACTCTAACCTGGTGAAATTTTAAAGTGCTCACATTATTACTAGTAACTACAGTTAGTTACAATATATTTTTAGAATTTCGTACAACAACCATTTAATATTTTATTACTCAACATTTATTAAAAATAAGTTTTGCATTGCATTATAATACCCAGTTAATTTATAATTCAGTACATAATTATCGTTATATATTGAAAAAATAAAAAAGCGATCAAAAATAAATTATATACACAAACTATTAATAGTTGAAATTTTTATACGCCATACTATCAATGATTGCAAATGTATACTAAATTATTTTCAAATCATTAAAAATATACTTGATTACATAGATATGCATTATATTTAACGTTATATGTTAAAAGTAGACAATATTTTTACCATTCACAGTTTCGTTGTCACAATAATAAACAAAAGCAGCTTCTGGGNAATTAACAACAGAAAAAGGTATATATATATATATATATCTTATAATAATTAATATAGACAATAATTGTTCAATATTTTATTTAAAGTAAAAATATTTTTTGTTCAAAATTATTTATTTAATAAAAATGCCAAAACTCCAATTTAAATCTTAAAAAATAAATAATTAAGATGACAGTACATATTTCAACTTTAAAATTAGGACGATATTATAACTGTTTAAGAGAAAGTTCATAAATTCAAACATAAATAGACTGTAGATCAACGACTATCGCTAAAACACAAAAATGTTAGCAAAAGCATTTTGATATTATGAAATAGATATTAGATATCTATTTTTAAATGAAATACCTAAAAGTGAATGGAGTATGAAATACAATTTCATACTCCATAAAGTCTTCATCGGTACAACATAATTATAAATCTACCTTTTTTTGGGAGAAAGATCTAAATTATTCTGATTATGGTTAAAACTCTCATATCCTTTTTTATTTCTTCTTGGCTGACATAAGAGAAAAAAAAAATTTTTTTGCACAACATTTGCTAGTTTCTTTTACTTTGATGTGATGCCATGTTTTATATTATTCACGCTTATTATTAAATTTTTTTTCTTTAGATTAAAAATTTCGGTTTAACTTGAAAAATAATACAAAAATTGACTAAATTAATACTTTAATCATAGTTACAAGAGTTGTCTGACAGATTCAATGACCCGATTGTTTATTACTGCATATTCAGCCGATCGATGACTTAATTCCATTACACTTAGACCACAACCACAGTTTAAAATTTCATCTCTGGCTTGTTCCAATACCTGTGTAAAAATTGACATTGGGAATAGATATGAACTTTGACTAATAGTAAGACAATGTGAAAACTTAAAAATTTTATCAGTTCCTTTACTTGTCTGGGTAGTTTTGCGGGACCAGCACCAAAATTGATTACATTATTGGAGGATGACATTGTCAGTTGTTGGATTGTTTGGAGGTATGTCCTGCTCGATCGATTACCTACTAAGGATAAAAATTAGAGAAAACGACTCAAATAAGACACAACATGTGCGCTACGTTGTGCGAATACTAACTAAATGAAACCGGTTGAAGTGTACACGAGGTGCACTCACACCACTATTCAAAACTCATTTTATTAATCATAGCAATAGAACCAATTAAAATAATTTTCGTTCCAAACACATCTGTCAACCACTTGTTCATATTATCACGCAGAATTATTATTTAAAACTGATATTAATACATACGAATAAGACTTGGCTTGAATTTAAAATACACCTCTAAAGAAAATCAAATTAAATAACCAATGTGTAAATTAATACACTACGTTTAATAAGCAGTACTTAACATTTTGTAAAAAATTATAATACATTGTTTATAAAATTTTAAAAATAATTTATTTTTATCCAATCCTGTAACAACACAAGAAATTTGTTAAATATTTTCTTAAATAAATATATGCTCATATAATTGTATTGCATCAGACGCAGATCCAATTTCCGTGATCAGAAGAGCCGGTTTAATAGTATATTTATATATATAATGAGTTTCCTACAATTTTCTGATATTTCTAATAACTTTGGATCCAGAGAATACTTTGCGTTAGTTTTTAGCTTCAATGCTAATTTAAGAAGGTTTTACCGTGATGTATTTTTTTTTATGTCAGTCGATGAAAATTTTCAGATCTCACTAGACTTATGTACAGAGAAGGTATGAAAATGGACCCCGAAGGTAAAAGTTTTTTTTAAACTTCATTTTTGAAAAGATTCCGAAACAAATGCGTTTTTCTAACCTATACCAAATTATTGCTTATGAAGTGTACAACAACCTTGGTTTTAAAAGACACTTTAAAATCAAGGTTGTTAAAAAACATGATAAAATAAAAAAACCTATTTAAAACGTCCCATAAGACCAATGTAAATTAAAAAAAAAATTGGTGTTATAAACATGCAGTGTTTAAAACGTAACAACCCCGTTTAAACCTATATTAAATTAAAGTTTTTGAAATCTACAATATGAAAATAATAATTTGTCCAATTCTTCTATAAAATAACAGCTATCAAATTAAAAAAATTGAAATTTTTAAATTAAAAATACTTTATTTTCAATAATGCAAATAATTTAATGAGTATTTAATATTTAAGTGAAATTTTAAAACAAAATTTTAAAATTATGAGACTACAATATTATTTGTTCTTAATAAGAAAAATAAATAAACATATAATTTTATCAAAAAATAAATATAAAAAATAATAATTTGATGGTTGGTTAACAATTTTAATATTAATACTTATTGTGTTACAAACATTTTAATGTATAGCATAAGTACTTAGCATGGCGAATAATGCATGTAAATGATGATACATTGATTTACTTGTAGACACGTGTAAATAATTTTTTTTTTGTTTTTACATATATATTTAGATTTTATCTTTAGGAAAAAAAATAAAGGACATAAATAGCTGATAATCGAGGTGAGAACTAGTCTGTGTTCACCCTGATAGAAATTTTTTTTCTAATTTTAACATTAAAAAATAAAAAACAGCAGCACAGTGAGGTCGCAACTTAGTTGGGACAAGTATAAATGACATATGATAGTGATTAAAATCACTGTTATAAGTATAATACATGAAAAAAACTTTTATTATAGTAATTAAATGTAGTATGAAAATAAGATTCAATTATTTACAATTAAAAGTGTTGTAATTTTTCTGTAAAAATTACAACAAATTATAAAGTTATATATGTTGTTACCTCCGTGTTAAACACATATCAAAATTCTAATCAAATTTAATGATTTTTTCTAATTAATTGAAGTTAAGTTAGGGCTCTATAGGTAATATAGACTTTGTAGATATTTATCTCTATAGTAACTATCTCTATGGTAGCTCACAGATAAGTTGATAAATAAACCACATGTATCCATACTTTATCAAGAAAATAAAATGTGCTGTGTAAATTTAATTAAAAACAGTAACATTGCCTAACGTAATCTAGATAACACTTGAAACTATATTTTTAAATAAAATTTTTAAGTGGCACTTTACACCGACTAGTGTAAATTTTTGCTGCCACAGACAAAAAAGTCTGCTCAGGCCTATGTTGGACGGTCATTAATAAATGCAGAAATCCTTCCTAATAATATTTATAATTAACACTTAAAACACAATTATTTTTTTGCAAAAGTGAGGTGGTAAAAAATTATTTTTGCTGCTGAACTATTCTTCTGAAGTTGTATATATTATAACCTATATATTACAAATAAATTGTCAAATTAATGGACGTTTCGTAATGGGGGTGTTACCCTACCACAACTACAGGACGTCTTAACTTCTACTCATTAATAAGTAACGTAGTTTTCTGAGAAACAACCTAGTGGGTATCAAAGGATTTTAACAATCTCCCCTTATACATTTAATTTGAGGTTATTTTTTTCAATATTTTAAGTATTTATTGAAATAATGAAACAATAAATAAAAATAAAATCATTAATTAACTGGATATAAAAAAATTTATCTTCTTCGCAAACTAGAATATTATTATCAATAATATCCAATCTTAACCTGTTCAGGGGAATATCAAAAACCTTAAATGTCCATTTAATAATAGATGGGAAAAGATATAGGCAGTGTTTTACTATATATCCTTTTATTAACATAATTCATAATTATACTGCTATAATAGCAGGGTTGTACTACTGAATAAAATCTCAAATGGCATTTCTTTTTAATATAACTTTTTGTATAAAATCCTTCCAGTGTACAAGTTAAGAAAAATTATTAAAAATAATTGAAATCTAATATTTCTTTCCATTAAAATATAGAATTATAATTAATATTCAGTATTAAACTTGTTATCAAAACTTACTACTATCACTGATATATTTCATATATGAACATATAACCGATTATTATTAACTTCACGAATTTATTGATCCATTATTTTAATTTGTCTAGCACTAATAATAATTAATAAAAATAGTGAATTGTTATTGCTATTTTAACCTTGGATTTTAACATTTAATCGCTAAGGTATCTTATCTGTATTTCAAATTTTACATAGCACCTCTATTTTGCCAATTTAAAATCATAAATCAACATTTACAAACGTTACCACGTTCAATTCTTACAGCACACTTCTCCGGTTCCATACGGTCGATAGTGTGTAGATTTATTTATTAAGTTAAAAAAACGTAAATTGTTAACTGTTAACTTAATTTTAACTTACTTTGCTTTACACTTCAGTCTACAACTTAGATTATTCACTAAGAAAACAATGTGAGTATTTTTTTTTTTTGCTAAAATATATCTTAATTGATATAATGTAAAACTTATTGAATAGACAAACGTTTGTTAGGTGTCTATAGAACGTGACATTGTAGTAACCTTGAAGTTAATTCTCGTTTTCTAACAAAATTAAAGTTTTATTTTTGGTAAACTATTGGCATATATTAAACGGATATTATCTTATCTATAAGAGATCATATAAATGTCAAATACACCTATAGTTGCCTATGACATACTTGTCATGCTAAGTTTATTTTTCAAAAAAACAAACTAAAAAATATCAAAATTATTTGAGTTTTTAACTATAACTTTTCTAAATGAATCGTATTTTATCTGTTGTTCAAGTGATGGTTATAAATGGCTTAAAGAGAACACCCATAATTTCAGTGACAATACCATCAATATCTTCTAAACCATTTGGTTGCTTTTCAAAACGCCAGCTATTTAACTTTATGGTGCAACACGAGGTTTTAGATTTAAAAAGTAGTTTTTAATGTTTATGTAAATAGCATTATACCAAAAATCCTATCTTAAGGTATTCTTTTCCTTACTTTTATTTTTCTGTTAAATATTTACCTACAATGTTCTATCTCATTTTTGTAACCTACATCTTGTTATCATCACTTAAAAATTTATAAGACATAATTTTTATAATAATTATATTTATTCAATTAAATTTAGAAAGAAGTTATTTAATATTTATTTGGTGATATAAGTTGTTTAATGATTTCCTATTTCTATATACATTTATGACGATACATGTATAATTAAAGTATAGAATATTAAAAGGCAGTTTTTTTTATGATAATTCTTGTATTATAACATTTTTTAATTACTTTTATAAAAGGGTTAAACCAAGAAACTAGAACAGGTCAAAAATAAAATATCGTAATCTTAATTTTGAAACAATAAAAATGGTTATTAGTTTAAAATTATTTTTTTTTCTTAGCTAAAAAAATATATATGTATATATATTTGTGCTAATTTTGTTTGTTTTGTACCATAAATGTGTGCATTATGAATTCCTTAAATAACACAGTTTAAACGAATGATTTTGATAATCAAGGTGGTTATGTTAACAATTTTAATTTTTCATGAGATCATAACAAAATAATTTTCGTAGTATTAAACAAATTTTTTAAGTTTATATTGAAATAAATAACTTCATTATTTTTAAATCAACGTAATTACCCTTAAATGTACTGAAAATGAATAATAAAAACCAGAAAATGACAATATTTAACTTGATAACCTTCTCACAAAAACTGTCCAAATAATTTAATTTGATTTATATGTTTAGATGAAATAGAGTTACTAATTTCTCATACAAAAAAATTAGATTAGAGTTTTAACTTAAAATTTCGAATCATTATTAAATATTGAAAATTTCTATTGAACAGTATATTTTTTATAATCTATTTTTAAACATTTCATATATTTGAGATAAATTCCAAATTATTACATCAAAAAATTATAGTAATAATAACCAGAAAATATTTTTAAAGTACTATTTTAGAAAAAACTTGTGCAAACAAAATAGTTTATGAATAAAAATTAAACAGTCATACAATATAAATAGTACTATAAACTAAACTGTCTTTCTCACTATAAAACTTTGGTATTGGTATATTTCATTGCAATTAATTTTGGCAAGACTACCATGTATCTTCCTTGACTCTCTAGTCACCTGTTTAATCTGAATATAAAGTACTGCTACCTGCCAAAAAAAGAAAAATATGCTTGATTCTATTCAACTGTTTATTTTACTATGTTTATTTGTATGTTTTTAAATAAATTTCATACTTCAAAAACTAATAAATGTTTACTAAAATTACAAAGTTTCTTAATTTTAAAAAACTTAAATAATACTCTACATACTAATTCTAAAAAATTAACATGGGCAACGCTTGTATANAAAAAACTTAAATAATACTCTACATACTAATTCTAAAAAATTAACATGGGCAACACTTGTATATAACCCAGAAAAAGTCAGAATTTTTATTTAAAGAATAATTATGTTATCTAGATAAAGATGATTTTTTAAACTGTTTTTTTTTTTTTTTAGATGGCAAAAACTGTGTACCAACATGATAATACCACTACTCATTTAGATTATATGAGCACACTGGATATTGATGTTGAAGCTCAATTTATTCGTCTTTCTGGTATCATTTGTACAATTGGTAAGTTTATTAGTTTTCAAACTTTTTTTATCTAATTTATGTATATTAATTTCATTACTTTATTATTTAGGACCAGCCTCTGTTGCTGTGGGAACGCTTGAAGAGATGATTGAGGCTGGTATGAACGTTGGCCGATTGAATTTCTCCCATGGATCACATGAGTATCATGCAAATACCATCAAAAACTTAAGACAAGCTGCTGAAAATTACAGCAAAAAAATTGGAATTTACTGTCCATTGGCTATTGCTTTAGATACGAAGGGTCCTGAAATCAGAACTGGCTTATTAGAAGGCGTAAGAATATTGATTAGATTATTTTTACTTATTTTTATTAGTATTAAATATTTTAGGGCGGATCAGCTGAAGTTGAACTTAAAAGGGGAGAACAAATTCGTTTGACTACAGACAAACAGTTTGAAAGTCATGGAAATGGTAAAGAAGTTTATGTTGACTATGCAAATATTACCAAAGTAGTTAAACCAGGCAACCGTGTTTTTGTTGATGATGGTCTAATTTCATTGATTGTCAAACAAATTGGTAAGTAAATGTTTTTATTATTTTTTGACTTTTGTACATAAATAGTATTTGTTTATTTTTTGTAGGAAGTAATTATATTGATTGTACAATTGAAAATGGTGGATTATTAGGAAGTCGTAAAGGTGTTAACTTACCAGGTGTACCAGTAGATCTTCCAGCTGTTTCTGAAAAAGATAAGAGTGATTTACAATTTGGTGTTGATCAAGGAGTAGATATGATTTTTGCTTCTTTCATTCGAGAAGCATCTGCTATTAAAGAAATAAGAGATATTTTAGGTTCACATAAATATTAATATAAAAATTATTATGTAAAATAATAAAAACTTTTTCATAACAGGAGAAAAAGGAAAAAATATTCTTATTATATCAAAAATTGAAAATCATCAAGGTATGAAAAATTTACAAGAAATAATTGAAGCATCTGATGGCATTATGGTTGCAAGAGGTGATTTAGGTATTGAGATTCCTCCTGAAAAAGTGTTCCTTGCACAGAAAGCTATGATTGCACGCTGCAACAAAGTATTCAATATTTCATATATAATTTATATTAAATTAATTATAACATACTGAGTAAAATCATTTATTATAGGCTGGTAAACCTGCAATCTGTGCCACTCAAATGTTGGAGTCTATGATTAAAAAACCTCGTGCTACCAGAGCTGAATCGTCTGATGTAGCTAATGCTATTTTAGATGGAGCTGACTGTGTTATGTTATCAGGAGAAACTGCTAAAGGTGAATATCCTTTAGAATGTGTGCGTACTATGGCTACTATTTGCAAGGAAGCTGAAACTGCTGTTTGGCAAAAACAGTTATTTGCTGATCTCTCATCTGCAGTGAGTACTTAGTTATTGAAATAATAACTGTGACATTTTACTATCATAATATATGATGATTTTCATTTATCGACTAACGTATTACACTTAGGTCACCTTACCATTAGATTCTTCGCACACTACTGCAATTGCTGCTGTAGATGCTGCTAACAAATGTAAAGCAGTTGCTATCATAGTTCTCACAACATCTGGTCACTCTGCTCATCTTCTTTCCAAATATCGACCTCGTAGTCCTATCGTAGCTATTACTAGAAATGCCCAAGTAGCTCGTCAATGTCATGTTTACCGTGGTATTTTGCCGTTGTATTATAGTGGTAAATATTTCAATCTAAATTTTATTAAAAATAATTAAATTTATTTTAAAATTAAAAATAAAATTATAACTAATTTATTTGTGCCATAGAACCAGCATCATCTGATTGGTTAAAAGACATTGATAATCGTGTTGTTCATGGAATTCAGTTTGGTAAGGCTCGTGGTTTCCTTCAATCTGGTGATCCGATTGTTATTGTCACTGGATGGAAAAAGGGATCTGGCTATACCAACACCATACGTATTGTGTATGTACCCGAAAAAGAAGATTTTAGTCTTATAGCAAATTAAATATATTTTTGTCATGGTGATGCTAGGTTAAAAAACATTTCCTTTATCATATAAATGTAGGCACTGTGATATCAATCNAAACATTTCCTTTATCATATAAATGTAGGCAATGTGATATCAATCACACTGTTAGTATTAACAATGTTACCTTATAATTTCCTAACAATTAAATTGCTATATGAACATTTTTAATTTCTAGAAATTTATTGTCAACAGATAAATCTACCTTATGTAGTTTTTTTTTTTTTTTTTATTGCGGTTGGTTGTGGTTGAGAAATAGCAAAATTTAAAAAAGGAGTAATAGTTGTTCTTTAAATAGTTAGTGGATTATTTTATTTATGCTTAACAATTCATCTAACTATTAATTGTATCTTCTTAACCTTTTACCTTATAGCTTGATATACATATTTTTTAATTTATTATACAAAAGTGAGAGATACTGTAATGTAACACGTTTATTACCATTATGTACTAGTCATTTGTATGCATATACGTAACATTGGTATGATTATACTTAAATGTTAAATGCTTCTATTATAAATTTGAATAGATTGTATCAACTACTTGTTTATTATTATTAAATATATGTTTTATAAATTTAAGTAGAATATTGCATGATTTTAAAAAAATAAAACCTTTTAATAATTCAATTAACTAAAAGTCAGCAGCACCCTTATTAGTTTTTTTATAATTAAAATAGAAAAACATAATTAATCTATAATTTTATGCTTTTAATACTTTAAAGAAATTTAAGTATTACTTTATTTTTTGTTTTATTATTAACTAGTCAACATTAAACTAATGAAAAAAAAGAATCTCTATTATTGAATTTGGCCTTCTTATTTTTATTAATTCAATTACTTTTTATTCTATGAAAAATTTTTGTGATCTCTTAACTAACTTTAACTGTTATGTAATATAGTAACAATATTAATCAAGTGTTTGTTATTTTATCTACTTATGATGTATTGATTAAAAAAAAAAAATTAACAAGCATTATTATCAACATAATATGTTAGTAATTTTATATAATGAAATAATTAATTTATACTCAAAATACTAAATTCATTTATAAGTAAAGATAATGCTTTTTTTTTAATGGGAAGCTTATTGTAACAAACAACAAAGAATACTAAAATAAATCTGTGTATTTTGTTAACTTAATACAGTTGTGTACTTATTGTTTTTTGTTTTTCAGTAACGTGGAATGAGGTGTCCAATAATGAGTGATATACCGCAATAAAAAAAAATAAATAAAACAATGATCTATTTAGAAGATCCCAGATAAATTTGTCTTATAATTTGTGCAATAAATATTGTACTTTAGTATACTATTATTGTGTTTTAAAAACAGTAAGTTATAAATTATTACTTTGTATTCCTTGTTATTCATAAAAAATAAATAAATTTTAGGATTGTGATGTAAAACTAGTTATTTTTAAAATTTTTCCTTAAATAAACATTAGTGGGTCAAAAAAATTCAATCATCAAAAATTAAATGAGAACCTTTATAACTTTATTATTACATTAAAATAAACATTATGTAAAAATTTAAAAAAAATGTATTGATCAACGTAAAGCGGAAGTTTAGGGTAAAGGTGGCCGACCCCAAGTAGTTGGGATTAAGGCGAGGAAGAAGAAGAAGATGAAGGTAGGTGTTCATTAAGGTGGATCAAAAGAATTGGATCATCGAAAATTAAATGAGAACCCTTATAACTTTATTATTACATTAAAATAAACATTTTGAAAAAATTTGGGATTTAAAAAAAAATTTACTGGTCGTTCTACGTATTTTTAGTATTTTGACCAAATATATCCTTAGAAAAAAAAAGTCAACTGATATTCAATTTTTATTCAAATATGATTTATAATATAGTTACTAACCCAACTGTAGAATACAAGTTTCAAATCAAAAATTGATATAGTGGATGTCTAATTAGCACCAATATATGGTATATTTCTGATAGGTCTCAAGTTTTGCATTTTGGCTGTCACTTATGTATATTATAAATAGAAAAAAGTTGTTCAATCATCTTAAAAACTCATACCTTTTAAGCTAATTATTTATTAAAAAAAAAATATTTAATTTTAAGATATAATGACGCTAATTAGACATCTACGTTATCAATTTTTGACTTAAAACTTGTATTCTACAGTAAAAATTAAACTATGTTGATATACTAATCATAATATTGAATGAAAATTGAATATCAGTTGACTTTTTTTCTTGAGGTATTTTTGGTCAAAATACTAAAAATACGTAGAACGACCAGTAAATTTTTTTTTAAATCCCAAATTTTTTCAAAATGTTTATTTTAATGTAATAATAAAGTTATAAGGGTTCTCATTTAATTTTCGATGATCCAATTCTTTTGATCCACCTTAATGAACACCTACCTTCTTCCTCGCCTTAATCCCAACTACTTGGGGTAGGCCACCCTTATCCTAAACTTTCACTTGACACGATCTCCCACATCCTCTACATTCACATCAGGTGTCCTCATATCGCATGCATTCAATAACATCTCTCCATTTCTTTCTTGGTCTTCCTCTACCTCTTCTTCCTATAACTGTTCTTACAGCTTCCGATTCTTCTCTTCTTATAATGAACACCTACCAATAACATAAATAATAGTTATCTTCTAAAGAATAATTATACATTTAAAATTGATTTAATGTTAAGTCTAGCAGGAATTCAGCAAAATGGATATGCGAATTTTTTTTAATATTAGTATTTACTAATAGTTGACAGTAATTAAAATAACATGCTTTGTCGCTAATTAAAAAAAAATTTATGTCCACCAAAAGTATGTGATTTTTAACTTAATAGATCTTGCTCATAAAAGACAAGTTTTCAAGGCGACATTCATTTTTTATTTGTATAGTACATTAATAATAATTTATATGTGAACTAATTTACAATATTGTAAAATAGACTACTTTAAAAGTAAATATTTATAATTCATAAACTTTTTAAGTTAATGAATTATACCTTAATTTAAACATTATTTAAAAGATGGTTTAAAATGCAATGTATTTTTTTTTAAACTGCACAGAAATCTTAATTGTGATGTATAGAGCTATGTTGGTTGTCTTAACATTCAAAACAAAAATTTAGTTATTACAAAAAAGGCTGTACTATAAAAATATTAATTTTGATTTGTCAGTAATATTATGAAAAACGCTTTGTTATTGGAATAACAAAATATATGTAGGTTACAAATGTCTAATTTAAAACTTTATTTAGAATAATATATAGACTAAATATTCTTTTAAAGATTATTTAAATTATAATTTGTTAACCTATGCTACAATAATATAATAAATAATTTTCAACTATAACTTCAAATAAATTAATATTTATTAAAAATATGGTTTCTCTGCTGTGTCATACTTCAGGAAATACATTTGTACAAGGTACTACTGACATATACAATTTCATAATTTTGGATGATTACAAAAATTGAAATTCTCAATAGTTTCTGAGATAATAAGTGTTATCTTTAATCTATCATTCAGTATACATATATTTATTTATAGTTATGATAATATTTACAAAAATTTTTTTTTTAATTATTTATTATATCCTAGCGAAGAGAATATTTTTTTAAGGTTCCCATTATCTAATATTGTATAAAATTTATTTCAGTATACTAAAAATTTATACTTATTGCATTTATAAGAGTTTCAATTTCCTCAAATATTTAATTTTATAATACTAACATTTTTTAATTATTTCATTTTGATTAATTAATTGATGAAACTATAATAATTTTCAGTTGCTACAATGTGTTATTGTAGCAAATCAGTATTTATGTAACTTTATTTACCTACGCCATAACTTTTAATCGTCTTGCGTTACTAAGTTCAATTATTTTTGTTCCTTAATATATTTCACAAGATTGGACATTAAAAAGTTAAAAAAATTAATTAAATTAAGATTAGCAATCGTTAATATTATGGTAGGTTTAACTTTCAACTTTACTAGTTATTTTTTAACCTAAATACGTATCAAATATAAAAATTAATTTAAATTTATTTTTCAGTTACTTTGAGTCTAACTAAGTTAAGAAATGTATTGAAGTAAACTTAGGTATTACAAAATTAGTATAATTACGACGAGTTGAAAAAACGTGTTAAATATCTAACCTTGGTATTTCATATATAGAAATATACAAAGTCACTTAAAAATAATTATGACCTTTATTTGTTTTTGCTGTCATCTCAAAAAAGTAGTAAGATATCTAAGATTTACAAGTCTAAGGCTACTGTATTTAGACTAATATTTTGGTACCACCTCTTACTTGCTTTATAGGCTCATACATTCAATACATACCTTAAATATGACTCGTCGAAAATAATATTGAAAAAACTACAATTTCATATAATTCATATGTTTGTTTATAATTAGAAGTTTTTTAAAAAAGTGTTCAATGATTTCCGATTTCTTAGTTACGATTAATAATAATATAATTTACAACATATAAGAAATTACGGTGTCTTTCCACAACTTGTAATAAATATTGCCTTTGCTCTTCGTCATTTGTTATACAGTTATTAAAACTCGTCATAAAAGCGACTCCGCGTTCTGCTGGGTCATTTATTACGAATAATGATTCTACTTTATTTTTAGCCTGATTGTAGTTCGAATTTTGAGCCCAAGTGTTTGGTTGATCCTTTAAAAATTCTTGGTTTATGCCAAGGGTAGAAAATAATTTTTTAGTATTTTCTGATATAAACTGGTTTAGTCCTTCATTTTCTTTTACTTTTTTATATCTATTCTTTTTTTTAAATTTATTTCTCCTTTTTTATTTAAAGCTTGAACCATTTTTTTTTTTGTTCTCTAATGATATGCTTTCATAAAAAAATGATAGTCCTGCTAAAATGATAGGACTATCATTTTAGGACGAAGAGCAAAGGCAATATTTATTACAAGTTGTGGAAAGACACCGTAATGAGTACCCCGATTGTAAAAAATCTACATTGGTGACAAAAAAACAAAAAATAATTTTAAATATATATGTATGTAAGTTAATGCCATATTTTAAAATAAAAAAATGTAAAAAAGAAACAGTAAAATTTGACGATATATTAATTTATTTTTATGTACATCGTATATTCTAGCGTACGTTCTAATCTAAAAAAAAGGTAGTAGTTTTAAACATTAGTAGAAAAAAAATTTTTCTCTTAAAATACACACAAATATTAATCAAATTAAAAAAAAAATTTTTTTTGGTTTACATAAGTGTTTGTAGAACTTAACCATATTTTTGAGCTTTTTATGGACTTTACGCAATCAATTTTGGACTTACAATTTTTTTTTCTAATTATTATTATTCGGCATTAAAAAACGAACAATTTAGATGTACTAAGTAAGAAATTTGAACAAAAATTGAATAAATAGTGACATTTTATGTTTTTTTGAGTATTTTTGGTCAATTTTCTTCAAACGCGTTGAGCGACCTGTAAAAATTTTTTTTAAACCTCAAATTTTCAAAAAGGTTTATTTTAATGTATATAATACATTTATGAGGTATCTCATAAACATTATGAAGATCGATTTTTTTTGAGCCACCCTAATAATCACAACAAAACATTCGTCAAGTTTTAGTATTACTGATGATAGTCTTCAAATTCGTTTCAATATTTTGGTTTATATTAGTTTTTGCATTATTTCAATCTTTCTTCTTTTTTTACAACTGTTAATCTTTTGAAAATCTAAAAAATTATATTGAATTTTTTTTTTTTATTTTACGAATCAAATATCACTTGCGATATCTATTAATGATATTGTAAATTCATAATAATCATTATCGTTGATTACATTTGAATTAGATAATTCTTAAGTATATAGATGTACTTTTTATTCCCTTAAAATTCATTATCTTGACATGCAATTAAGTTGAATAACAATTAATAATAAAATTATATAACATTTTGAAAAAAATAGTCCAACACTTAGATTAATAATATATCACAATTACTTTATTAAAATCTATAAATTTACGCAATAACTGTGTGATAACAATATTGTACTGTATTTCATATAATCTGTAGTATTAAATTATAGCTTTAATTGCAACATATTTTACATATTATGATAAATGTACAGAATAATAATCCAAACATTGAGTATTATTATTTCTTTATGAAATAAATAAAGATATTATTTGATAACGGTTATCAAAAAAAGATTAGTACCATGCACTTGATAAATTCAAAAAAACTTCATATTTTTACATATTATTGTCGGTAATTTTTTATATCGTAAATGTTTCATTTAAAATTAAGTAATATTTAAAATGATCAATAGTTCAACTAACTCAATACTCTCGAGTTTGAAAAAACCACAATATTATCTTAATGTAATTTTGAGATATACTCATAATACAAATAGTAGTAATAAAGAATATGTGGATCAACAACGACTACTAAAAGTAGCCATAATTGGTGTACCCAACGCTGGTAAAAGTACTCTGATAAATAGAATTATTCAAAGAAATGTTAGAGTTTTATATATCAATATGAACAGCATTTGTGATTAAAAGACTAAATATTATCATACATATTATTAATTTAATTTATTAGATATTAGCAACATCAAACAAAGTTCATACAACAAGATTGAAAGCTCGTGCAATTTTAGTAGAAAAACAAACTCAAATAGTTTTTTTAGATACTCCTGGTTTAGTAGACAATGAAGAAATTACTAAGTTATTATTTATAGAATTTAAATGTTTTACAGTACCTTATGATGTTAAAAACTATATATATATTTTATTTTAAGATATAACCTTGAGAAATCATTTACTAGCGATTGCTTGGGTGCAATATATGAAGCTGACACAATAGGAGTTTTACATGATGTATCCAATCGCCATACTAGAAATCGTTTAGATCCAAAAGTTTTGAGATTACTTCATTTAAACGACGATAAAGAATCATTTTTGATACTGAATAAGGTATTGTTATGTTACTATAATTCTTATTATAATTTTTTTTTAATAAATTGATGTAATAGATTGATGCCTTCAGATCAAGACGTAGTTTATTAGATTTATCAAAATCTTTAACCTGCAACAATCTTAAAAACTTAGAAAACTACAAAAAAGATAAATCTTTAAATAAACTCAGTGAAATGAAATTAAGTGAAAAAATAAAAAATTGTGTTGGTTGGGATAAATTTAGAGATGTATTTATGATATCTTCATTAACTGGTGATGGTGTACAAGATATTAAGGTAGTAAAAAATTATTTTTCTTTTAACTAAACACTATTATTTGATTTTTTCTTTAATTTTAGGATTATCTTATTCAAAAAAGTAAGCCTTCATCATGGATATTTCCTGAAGGTACATTAACTGACAAACAAGATACTGATTTAATACTGGAAATAATTAAAGCAAACCTTCTTAATAATCTCCCAAATGAAGTACCATATAAATTGCAGATTGAATTAGAATATTTTGAAGTATCTTCTGATGGTAATGTTATGTTTTGATATTTATTATGTGTGTAAATTTTGTATAGTTGTAATTTTGGGTAAATGACAATTTATCACAGAGTACACAGAAACCTTAAGAATTATTCAATGTAAACCAAATATTAAATTTCTTTACCAAATGTTTAGAAAAGGATGTTTCTATCAAGTACCAGAAAATGACTTCTTGATCTTACGTGTTTTGTATTTTGCACTTCATTTATATTTATCACTATTGAAATTAAATCTTTATTTTGCTTTCCTGGGAGCAAACATATCATTTTATAAAAAGCAACCATAAAATTACAACAACCAATAGTTCATTGATAATTTAATGTATAATGAAAATGTAGGATTTCATATAGTATTTATAAGTTTGTAAATTACTTATAGGTAATATGCATATTGTTGTTTTGGTTGGCTGTGATACAGAAAGATTAGAAAAATTAGTAATTGGGAAAAAAGGTAACCGTATAAGAAGAGTAGCAAAAGAATCTGAACAAAACTTAAGAAATGTTTTTTTTACTGATGTATTTTTGAAATTAGTTGTAACTGAAAAACATAAAACAATAGAATCTGTAAGTGCTGAAATGTAGAATCTACATCATTTTCTGTATATTAAATGTGTAATATAAAAATGTGTTTTCCTATGAATTATAAATTGTTTTGTATTCATACAAAGTCTTGCGAAATAGGTGCAAAACTAAACAAATGTATAAGGGAGTCTATTGTATGAACTTTACTAGATATATATTATAAATATGGTTTATATATCCTTATTATTCCAACTTAATTTTCCAACTGGTACATATTCATATAGGATCTGGTCTAATATCCATATACATTAAAGTGGCCCTTAAAAATCGAATGTCTTTTTTTTTACGCTACCCCTTAATTTTTTTTTAATAGTCAAAAAAATGAGCTGTGCAAAATTTGGGACCGATCCATAAAGGTTAACCCGTGACCCCAGGTTTATTAAGTTGAGAAGAGGCAAATTTAATAGAAATACAGTTATCAAATACAGTTAAATAACTTTTTTTTGCTTAACTTGGTAGAATTATGAAAGTAAAACTCAAATGAAGAACATTTTACAAGAAATTCAAAAATAATAACTTCAATGTAGTTTTCTTAATAAATAGCCCACAAAAACACTACATAGAGTAAAAAACATGTAAAAGTCTTAATATATTGTTGTAGTCTTCGATTAATTTAATCCCATACTCGACTGATTTTTTGAAAATTGATCCGGCATTTTGGAGTGCGAACAATAGTTACATAAATGCTTTAAATACTATAAGCAAACTACGAGTCGTTAATGATACATTCGAGCATGGGATTAAATGAATCGAAGACTACAATAATGTATTCACTACAAACGAAAAGCAGAAACAATACGTTTTACAAATAGTAAGTGATTATCGAAAAAAATTTCCTAATTGTAAAAAAAGTACATTAACAAAAAATATTTTGTAATTTAATTTTCTACTTTAATTATTGTGTAAAATATTTTGTTTTAAAGTTATTATTATTTAAAAAAAAATAAATTTAAAAATATTAATAATAAGTAAAATATTTTATAAAAAAAATGATGTTATAAGAAAATCAGATTTGTTTTCTATATGATTAACATTCAGATTATACATTTGCAGGGAGATCTCAATCAGATGTAATTTAGTGGTAAATAAGTATTAATCAAAAAGCATAACTTCTAACCAAAAAATAAATTATTTTCCTTAATCAAAAAATGTAATAATACAATAATTTTGTTAGGTTTATAATTAATCATTAATTAACTGTCCATAAAATAATAAATATAATATAGTTATCGTATTTGGCATAAAAAATTAAACTTTTAGGACCTTTTTTTAAACAAATATGCATTTTCCAAAGAATAAAATGAAAATAAATAAGTAAAAATCAACAAAATCCGTTATAACATATTTTTAAGACTTTTATATGTTTTTTATTCTATGTAGTTTTTGTGGGCTATTTATTAAGAAAACTACATTGAAGTTATTATTTTTGAATTTCTTGTAAAATTTTCTTTATTTGAGTTTTATTTTCATAATTCTAAGTTAAGCAAAAAAAAAGTTATGAGACATAGATCACTTATTTCTATTAAATTTGCCTCTTCAACTCAACTCAATAGGCCCGGGGGTACGGGTTAACCTTTATTTTGCACATATTTTTACTATAAAAAAAAAATTAAGGGGTAGCGTAAAAAAAAAAGACATTCGATTTTTGAGGGCCACCCTAGTATACATATATATATATATATTGTAGAATTAATATAGTTTAAATGAGAGGAAAAAATGAGAATTATTATATTAAAAAGTAAATCCAATTTGAACATAAGATTATTTGATTCATACCTCATTTCTTCTATGCCTCTCTTTATAACTAAAACATTAATTTTTTATCTAATAAATGAATTCATTTTTTGAAATATTTTTATGGCATATTTATTGAGTCACAATAAATGACAAAAACAATTCAAAATATTCTGTTCACCTACAGAATATTTAACTGTACAGTATTCTTTGTGTGTATCTCGAAGAAATTTAAATTAGACATAGGTACTTGATCTCTACTACATGTGTTGTGTAAACAGCTAAGAACTTTCACTTAAAAATATTTCAAGGTTAATTTAGTACTTATTCAGATCACATAATAGTTGAATGAAGACTAGAATTAAAAATAAACATGTAGTGCAGAATTATGGAGTAAACTTTTTTTTAACAAATATTGAGTTTTCTATTTTATTTGTTTTATTTTCATTTAATTATAATAATAATATAAAGTTATTTAATAATTAGATATTACTTAGTTACTTTGTTAGATGTCCTTTTTATTAAAACAACGTCTTGTCGATGTTATGTCAAGGGAAACCACTAAAAAACTGTTTAAAACTTGAGACTTATTCAGATTTTAGCAATAATTACTGTAAAACAGACTAAAACGATTACTTAGGGAGATCATCTATGGCAATATTATCACTATAATTTCTAATACTCTGAAAAATAAAAGTAGTTTATTATTAAAAAATAATGTTTCTAACTTTTTTTGTTTTATTTATACTCATCACAAGTTATACGCATAATAACATCCAAATTGTAAGGTTCACGCGATAACACTGATCAAGGGATTTAAATTAGTCAACTTGGAAATATTTTTTTATTAATAGATTTTATGTTAAATGGTGGATGCTCTTATTTGGATTTCTAAAATGAATTTTCTAAACTAAAACTAAATGAAAAAGATTGATTAATTTTTTTATCGTCTTTCAAAATATTTAATTTGGTAACTTCCTAGTTAATAATTAAATCTCAAAAAGTGCCCACAGTTATGCTAGAAGGAAAATTATGCGATTATCTATATAATTGTATTACATACGTATTAATAACCCATTATACTGGTCAAATATATACAGATTGAACAAATTTACATTGAACACTTCATTTCCCACTTTCAAACACGACAAGGCCGTACGATTGCCTTAATAACAGTCTTGTACTGCCACCACTCAGAGTTAAGAAGTTTGGTATATTTGCACGAAGTCTATAAAAGAAACCTGTGCCTGTTAAATAACTTATTTCTAACGACATAATCAATTCTCAAATTAACACAACACATAGCTCAATACTTTTTATCCTCTTCAAACATTCAACACCATGCACCAACCTATTGCGGTGCTTTTATTCGCAACTGTCTTTGCCATACCAGCCAAGACTGCGTTCATTAGGACCAGTGGTATTGAATTACGTAAGTAATCAACATATTTGTAAAAGATTTTATTATCTCGTCTCATATTGATTATTTTTCTTTAAAAAATGCCTAGATACTAGGAAATTCTATAAAAAAATAATTTAATATGTATACTTTAAGTGATACAGATAAAAATAACTATTAAATAACCTTTTTGTTTTGCTAAAATATTCCTGAAATATTTTCTAGTTGCACTACTGTTTGAAAATGAGAATGACAAAGATCCCATTGATTATATTTTTAGCTTCTCCCACAAAAATCTTATGGTAATGTCGAAATGATAAAAATTTCGGGACCCTGTACGTATTATCAGTAGAGCCATTATTCAATATGATGCTTTTTTTATATAAATAAAATTGAAATATTTAAAATATATTGTAGTACTTTATGCTCCATAAAAATATAATATAAATATATATTACTTAAATATATCCCGTAATAAAATGCCTAAAAATTGTATCTTCACCATATAATTTTTTTACTGTAGGGTGATTTGAGTGTCATATCCTTCCTTATACTTACGCCAGTGACCCTATGGTAATTCAATTTACATTATTAAGTTTTTAATACTTTATTTAAAATAGAAAAAATTATACTCATCAAACAGTTGGGTTTCCAGTAAATAAGTATTTTATTTAATTCAAAGTTATGTAATATTTTAAGTTGCAAAATCAATATCATGAAATTGGCATAACCCGGAATACTTGCCAGTTGTAATATATTTTGCATATCTATTCTGTAGATATAATAACACACAATATTCTAGTGGCGTATTTGGGGGGTTGATCTGGGACAAGCCCCTTCAAAACTAATATTTATATTAAAAAAAATTTACCGATTAACCTACCAGTTACACAACTAGATGCATTTTTTTACGAGTAATATGATTTCAAATCATTTTGATAACCTTTTTATTTTTATAAAATTTGAAAAATCACTATTTATTATAAGAGGAGGGGTAAAATTTTTAAACGACAAACAATTTTTTTAGTACTCTATCTTCTTCTTTTTCCTTGCTTTAATCCCGACCAAAACCTCTCTGAAACTTGTTTGAAAATACGCTTCTGTTAAATCTATTAATATTTTTGGTTCAATCTTAATTTGTATTATCAATTTTCTAAAATTAGTAATTTAATCTTCGTTTGATTATGATGTATTATAATACACTAGTATTATGGTAATTATATATAATCAACGGGTTTCTACTAGATTATAATATATCTTAACAATTCTTTATGATTAATATTGATTAACGGATTGTGTAAGTAGATTGTGTAAAAACAATGAAGTTTGGTCAAATATTATTTGTTAATGTAATAAAAAAAGTATTATCTATCTTCCATCATTTGACAATGCGCGTCGCTGAATTTAACAATAAATTATTATAATAATGATAGTAAGGTAAGGTATTTTAATTTGTTATACACAATATTATTTAAGAGAAAGTTCATCGATTTTTCTAAGGGAAAGAAAAATCAGTTATTAAAAAAAAAAAATTGTTAAATGCATGCAGATCAAAAAAATATTATTACAATTTTTTGTCATGAGACAATTATATGAATAGAGAGAATATTCATTGATAATACAAAGAAAAAAGTGATTTCGCTCCATCGCAGTCGTTGTTACACTTTCATCCTATGAGACCGGATCAACGACCTGTGGTTTTGGTCGTGATTTATAGAGAATAGAAGTAAAATTTAAGTATTAACATAAACCGTATACTCGGTTGTCAACAATTATGNTTAACATAAACCGTGTACTCGGTTGTCAACAATTATGATTGCTATGCGTAGATCATATTAATAATGTTTGAAAATCGAAAGCGAGTAAAAGTTTTAGTTTTCATTTTGTCTTAATAGGATATACATACATATTGTGTAAATGCACAACATATTCAATCGTAGTAATAATACGTTATTAATTTTATTAAACAAAATTATTAACTTTTTATTATTCAAGTTACTTAACAATTATACTCAGAGTGAATGAGCTTAGTCCCATCAGAAAAATAATTTATTGAAGGGGGAATTAAAATTAGGTCTCTAAAAATTTTGTCCTTCCTACGGCTATAAAATTAAAACTTAATTGTCATTACAATATTTAAAACCTAGAGCCTAATTATTTTTATCTTTTTTCATTAAGGCAATTTTGTTAACTAATTTGGAATATAATTTTTCATTACTAATTTTTTCTCATACAGAGGTGTAACCTACAGAGAGTGAATTCGAATATAGTATGCCATTTTATAAAATTAACGTTGTACTATTTTAGGGTTTACATTAATCGACATTTTATTATTACTTTACGATAAAAATTATATCAAGAACCTATACTGCACGGAAAACAAAAAAAGAAATATATTGCCAATTACTAATAACAAGATTATAATTTCAAATGCACAATTTTTTTGTTTTTACCTCATTAAAAAAACATAAGGTCAACAATTTTTAAAATATTTCTTTGTAGGCTTCTACATTAATTCTCATTATTAAAACTGCGTACTGTCACCAGCTAATGAAATTTATGTATAGGTTATCTATTATTACTAACCAAAGATCGTTGGAGCATGTAGACCAAAATATTCAGATGCGTGGGAACTACCACACTTCTCTGTATTAAACATAGATAATATTAATATTGTATAGTTAATATAAAATTTTTTGGTAGTAAACTTATAAAAAATAATCTTTTTACATTTTATATTAAAATTATTAAATAGTATTTTATTTAAAATAGTATTTAAGACTTGGTCAATGAATCAAAATTAACGTATTAGATTTTAACTTTAATATCAATACACAATAAGATTTATTTTCATTTTTGAACTATCAATTCTAACATTATATTTTACAATTATCGGAAGGGCTTACGTCCCTATAAAATTCTCTAGAAGTGCCTATGACAAAGACTTAATTATTTCTTAGGCTATTGTTTAAAGAAAACCAGCAAGTCAATTTTTTTATTTTTTACATACGTGACTTTAAAAATTAAGTTATTTATATTAATCAGCTTAATAAATTATTCATAGAATAACATACATATAATATTAGAAATAAATTTAAAGCGTGTAAATATCAAAAGTAATGACAATATAACGTACAATAAACAAAATAATAATGACCATGAATATACCTGTATTCTCATCGCATTTCAACTAGGGAGTTCTTTGATTTAATAGTCAGAGTTTTCGTTTGTAATGCTGTTAAGGTCGTCAACTATTGAAGACTTCTAGATGTATATAATAAATTATCTTATTTCATGGATAATTAACATTTACGATGTGAATAAATATTATATAAGACAAGGTATTATTTAATTAATAAAAAACTTATTTTTTTTTTGTACATGTATAAAGGATAAAGCAAACTTTTAATTTCCATTGTTGATGGATTTCATTTCATTTTATTAAATAAGTAACGGTAAATTACACTGGTAATAAATATGATAACTATATTTTGCCTCGTAAATGAAATTTTTAAGTGAAGTAAAATAACTTTATGGTCATATTTTTTTTTGTTTTAGCAACGTATACTGATCCCTGTAAAAGAAATGACAAGGATTTTAGTGGTTGTCTAAAAAAAACTTTGCAATACTTGATTCCTAAATTCAGCAAAGGTAAGAGTGATTTTGAATATTGTTCGCATAAAAGATGATTTTAGTTTTAGTTTTTGGAATTGTACTAAAATAAATAGAAAAACCAATAACTTAACTAGTCTATGTATATATGAGAAAACTTATTAAGCCTAATAAATCTACGTTAAGTAATGTAAAATATGAAAAATATTTTACCTTTTATTAGAAATATAGTATGATAAACAACTTTAGTTTTTACTATTTTATAATATAAAGTGATAATAATAAAATTTATTTTTATATGCTTTTAGAGGGTATACCACAATTAAATATCACGACTTTAGATCCTTATCATTTGGATGAATACCTTATGCATTTTGACTCGGCACAAATCGATGGAAAATGTCTTTTTAAAAATGTTAACGACTATGGTTTGTCAACAATAAGAATAGTCGACGTGAGGTTTGTTACCTTCATAAAATATATACATATTTATAATATAAATAAGTTATTACATTTTATTATTCCCTTGGGAAAGCATTGTGTGAATGATAAATCAAAATTATGAATCACTACTGATTTCATGATCCTAAATATTT